GTATGGATTGTGATAAGAGTTGTATGAGCCCCTAATAAAACGATTAAAAAAATAAATTTATGGTTGGGGGGTCACCACAACATGAACTGTATTAAAGGGTCACAGCATTAGGAAGCTTGAGAACCACTGCTCTAGGACACCAACTCCAGCATTCCCTCCATCACACCCATTGTTCTGTACCTTTTCATGGTCCCTTGTTCCCCCTGATGTTTCTTTCTGGGCTCTATTTAAAAGATCCCATCTTTCTCCCACAGAGTGTCTGTTAGTTTCAAACTGCTGACCATGCAGTTCGAAGCCCAACCTTGCTACCAGGGCTCTTGGGCTCTGTTTAAATGACATTGAATTACCCCATTGCTAGCGAGTTCTCATTATTGTACTCAGGTACAACTACACCTTTGGATATGCCCCAATCTGCTGCTGAACAGGGCTTGATAAAAATACACACTCATGGGAATCGGGGAAAAATGGCGAGCTGATAGGACTCACCCGTCTGGAGCGCCTGCTGCCAGACCAGAAAACTGGGAGGGAAAGAGGGACCAGATTTAAAGCCAGTGCCAGACGAATACAGCTTGCCGGCAAGGAGTGGGGAGCCAGTGGAGGGGCCTGAGGGCTCGACCCCCATACCAGCTATGTGGACAACTGCCCCTCCCCCCAGAAGAATTTACTGGAGAGAACACTGAAGCTGCAGCTAGGGGAGGGGGGCATGTCTGATCAGAGCAAATGAAGGGGGAGGAAGAGAGAGTGGAGCACACCCTGGCCCACCAGGCCTGGAGGATGATATCCCCACTCTGAACAGCCAATGCACAGAGTGGACAATATGGCTGATCCCACTACAAGACATGCCGTCCCTTGATGGCCCAGGGCCCTAAGGGGCATAAGACTGGAGACCCAGTGTCGGGACTGGACCAGACTGACCTTGTGACACTGAGGCAAACCACTAAAGCGTGTAACAGAGCAACCTTGGGAGCAGAGCAGGGAGCCCCCGAGGGAGTACAAAGGACAGACTCTGGGGCTAGAGCATGGTACCCCATCAGTCCTGACTGAAGGTCACGACTAGAGATAAAAAAATCAGACGATCTATTTACAGATTTTTCTTTCTTTAAAAAACTTTTTAAAAATTTATTCTTCGACTCTCACTCACTGTCTCACTCACTCTCACTCACTCACTGACTCACTCTCACTGTCTCACTGTCTCACTCACTGTCTCACTCACTCACTGACTTACTCTCACTCTCTCACTGTCTCACTCACTCACTCACTCACTCTGCCGGTTTGAAAGGTTGGCGCGGCCGAGGCCCCGAGGTCAGCGGTCGCCTGGCCCGGCGCACCGCCGTCTCCGTTCTGGAGTCCTGCTGGCGCCATGGCCATGAGTTCCGCTGAGGTCAAAGGTGTGGCAGTCTATTCCTTAGCGTCCGTTGGGGGAGGTTCTGCCCTATCCCATAGCGTAGATCTTAATTCCCAGGATGCCTTTAACTCCAACTCCCTCCTCTTGAACCCTTCCCAGACGTGCAGAGGGGTCAGGGAGTTTCCTGAAGGAAGTTTTGCAAGAGACTCTTGACCGTAAGGAAGCATCACAGCGTGTGCATTTAAACAGGGTCGCTGCAATCTACCGCGGACTGATGTTGTTGCCATCCCCTGCGCTGGCTGGCACAGGTGAAAGCCCACGGCCCTTTAGTCCGGCTCCTGCTCTCCTTGGCTGTCCATGCGTGAAGCGCCCCCAGTGAGTGTTTCGAAGACGCGGGTTGACACACTC